CTTACTTTGGTATGGTCACCCAGTTCACCACGTCACGGTTTCTTACTTTGGTATAGACATCCAGTTCACCACGTCACGGTTTCTTACTTTGGTATGGTCACCCAGTTCACCACGTCACGGTTTCTTACTTTGGTATAGACATCCAGTTTACCACGTCACGGTTTCTTACTTTGGTATGGTCACCCAGTTCACCACGTCACGGTTTCTTACTTTGGTATGGTCACCCAGTTTACCACGTCACGGTTTCTTACTTTGGTATGGTCATCCAGTTCACCACGTCACGGTATCGTACTTTGGTATGGTCATCCAGTTCACCACGTCACGGTATCGTACTTTGGTATGGTCATCCAGTTCACCACGTCACGGTTTCTTACTTTGGTATGGTCACCCAGTTTACCACGTCACGGTATCGCACTTTGGTACGTAAGAGTAACGCTAATGATAATAAAGGATTATTGATTTTGGCAAGATCTTGAAGAGATTGTTAGTTACACGCGTAGACTTGATTTTAGTCGTTAGGAATGAGCGGAGAAAACTAGAGAGCTTGTTTTGTTTTCTGAAGTACGTGTGTTAGTGAAAGGTGTTGTTAAGGACTGACCAAAGCTGTTTGTTTTCTGAAGTACGTGTGTTAGTGAAAAGTGTTGTTAAGGACTGACCAAAGCTGTTTGTTTCCTGGAGTACGTGTGTTAGTGAAAGGTGTTGTTAAGGACTGACCAAAGCTGTTTGTTTTCTGAAGTACGTGTGTTAGTGAAAAGGGTGTTGTTAAGGACTGACCAAAGCTGTTTGTTTCCTGAAGTACGTGTGTTAGTGAAAGGTGTTGTTAAGGACTGACCAAAGCTGTTTGTTTCCTGAAGTACGTGTGTTTGTGAAAGGTGTTGTTAAGGGCTGACCAAAGCTGTTTGTTTCCTGAAGTACGTGTGTTTGTGAAAGGTGTTGTTAAATGCTGACCAAAGCTGCAACGAAGAAACAGACTCCATCTTTGACCTACGATTTTCAATCGTATAAAATGAAATACTGGAGCTAAAGAGAAATGAAAATTTAAAGGCTTGATTATTGTCTAAATAAAAGATCGTTTAAAGATAACTGAATTAGTTAGTGTTAACTGGAATAGACGGCAATTTTCAGGGCAAGGACCCCGAAAAAAAACCACTTTCACGGCCAGGACGCCGAATAAGAAGGCCAGAACCGTGCCCTAAAATAGCTGAAAAGGAAAAAAAAGGGTTAGTGAACATAAGTGGGTAATACGGCAACAGTCATCCTAACATTTTAGAATAGACTTGAGAGATGAAATGTCGAAGATAGGCTCGGGGTAGGAGTCGTCGTCTCTGAGTACGGGACGTAGGCGAAATAGGGATGTCTGTTGTGAGAAAAGTCCCTTAGGATTAAACGTAGTCCAGGGTCGGTAAGCGGAGGTCGATTGGAGCTACTTGGTCGAACGGGTTATTCTTCTTCTTCGGGATGGATTATCTTGTTTTTCCTTGCGATTCACGTCTGGATGTAGTGACTAAGTAACTGTGAGCTTCCTGTTGATGTTTATGACTCAAGTTTAGTGATCCATTTAGTTTGAATCTGGGTTGTCCGAACGTTCTTCCTGGTCGATGTGACTTGCATGAACCTGTCTTCATGGTTTGATGGCTGCCGAAGTGTGCGCTTGTAAAGTTGGTTTGTGGAGGTAGCTTGGCGTCTATAGGTTGTAAGGATGGTTTGTGTACGTAGTTTGGCGTCAGTGTGCTTGCTAGGATGGTTTGTGAAGGTAGTTTGGCGTCAGTGTGCTTGCTAGGATGGTTTGTGAAGGTAGTTTGGCGTCAGTGTGCTTGCTAGGGTGGTTTGTAAAGGTAGTTTGGCGTCAGTGTGCTTGCTAGGGTGGTTTGTAAAGGTAGTTTGATGTCAGTGTGCTTGCTAGGGTGGTTTGTAAAGGTAGTTTGATGTCAGTGTGCTTGCTAGGGTGGTTTGTAAAGGTAGTTTGGCGTCAGTGTGCTTGCTAGGGTGGTTTGTAAAGGTAGTTTGGTGTCAGTGTGCTTGCTAGGATGGTTTGTAAAGGTAGTTTGGCGTCAGTGTGCTTGCTAGGATGGTTTGTAAAGGTAGTTTGGCGTCAGTGTGCTTGCTAGGGTGGTTTGTAAAGGTAGTTTGGCGTCAGTGTGCTTGCTAGGATGGTTTGTGGAGATAGCTGGGAGTCGGTTCGGTCGTTAATTAATAATAGAAGCAACCATTAGATGATATGTATGGTTTGTAAAGGTAGTTTGTTGTCAGTGTGCTTGCTAGGATGGTTTGTGGAGATAGCTGGGAGTCGGTTCGGTCGTTAATTAATAATAGAAGCAACCATTAGATGATATGTGATCAGCGGTTGATTTGGAGAATTTTCATAAAATTTGTTGGTTCCCCCGTAGTTTTAGATCGGATTTGGTGGACAGCATGAATATTGTACCTGGAAGCTTTCTCTAATGTAA